TTTTTTTTTTCCATGAAATATACAACACTATGGTTATTGTAGGCGTGAAGTCTCAGACATTTTGTCACATATAACCTTCTTTCAAGGAGACAAAAATAGACTTGACACTCAGCAGGTCTGAGTTTCGATAGCATCACTGTTTCATTCTGTTTCTCGTAGCTGTGGACAGTCAAACTGGACTCATCCGCAGGCTTAATCTGTCAGCACACGTCACCTTCTGCAGATTAACAGGGGGCTGTTTGTCAGTGTGGGTTTCCGGTGTATCTGACACAACAAAAAGAGGTTGTGGATGGTGGTTAGTTTTACTGGCAGCTTTGTTTTCTTTAATGTTTCAATGGAAACTATATAACAGAATCTCTAACCTTTACTTGATCACTTTGTCAGAAAATCAATATATTTGCTTTATGTAAAGCTGCAGATGTAAAAAGGGTAAACACAAAAATAGTTTGTTTGACCCAAATTCAGGCTTCACTGCAGTTTACTTCATACCTTCATTTCTGAGTTACCCGAAGGGCTAAACCAATAGGTCATACAGTGACAGAAGATTGGTGACTATTAAAAACAATGTCTAATTTTGACACAGAATGGAAAGGCAGCTATGTAAAGTAATGGACTGCAAAACTGAATTTATCTGCAGGTCCAATCTCTTTGCACGTATACTTTGCACAAGTTTGAAGGGGCTGTTTGACAGTCTGCATTTCCTGTAACTCTCACCACTCAAAAAGACGTTGGGGGTTCGGTTTGGCCATACTGTCCACTCAGTTTAGTCTTATAAAAGCACGTAAGTTATTTACTAACTAAATAATTAACTAACTTTAGATAACCAATATGTCCAATTTTCTTCTTCAGATAAATGTCTGCACCTTATAACTGAATGTAAAATAATAATAATAATAATAAAAGTCCCAGCCATTGTAAATTTGGTAAATTCATACTGGAATGTTTTTATTCTGAATGTTTTGATGCGGGTAGGTTGAGAAACCCCCCTTTTGAGTTGACTCCTTACTATAACTCAATAATAAAACACTGTGGCTTCAAGGATTGTCTCAAGAAATCTATGAAGGCTTGTATTGTTCCTGGTGAGTCATTGATGGTGTTTGAAGCCTGTCTGGTTCATAATGAGATTTGAGTATTTTCAACAGATTCAGACTGCAATGCTCAGCTCACATGCAGATCCTAAGTGCTGGTGATTTGTGAGTTTGTGTGTGATATTAGGTGCATTTTGAGTTTGTGAGAAAACTGTTTTACACATGTGGGAACATTTTGATCCAATAGAGCACATGTGTCAAACTCAAGGCCCAGGGGCCAAATCTGGCCCGCCTAGGCTTTTTGTGTGGCCCTCAAGACTCCAGACACCAAATCAGTCCACCCAGTTTTCGGTTATTGATTCTGTGATTGTGGAAATTTACGTAAAATCAACAGATTGCTGTGTTTTTTCCCTGCTAATGCATAACTGTAAGTTTATTGCAAATTTTCCACAAAAATGGCCAAAAACATTGGATTTAACTCCACAGAAAAAAATTCTAAATGACAAAATATGACAATTGGGTTGTACTGGAAAAGAGGCACAGAAAAATTACTTTGTTTTGTCAGGAAGGAAGGTATATGTTAGATTCTTAGGGAATGGGAGAAAGAATATAACTGGTACTTATTGTTCAGGACTAAAACTTCTGAGTTCAGAGTCAAGCTCCTACACCGCAGATGTTTTAAGGTCAGAATATGTGCTGAAGTCTGAAGCCTGGGTTTTCCTCTTCCTCTTTGGTCTCTGTGATGGCCGATGGATTTCCAGAGCCGCGTAGCAAACATTCTCATCCTAAAATTCAAGATGTTTTTTTTTTATTTGTATTATTATTAACAAATGATGGGGCCTGATATTTTAGCTAGACTATCAAGCACAAACCTGTCCTGGTAATATGTCAGTTAAAAATTACGTTGATTTATCATACTCAGATTAAATATAAATAGTGTTTTTACCTGTGTTTCCCTGATTTGTCTTCTTGTTTCAAGTTTCCTGTTGTTTTCTTGAGCTTTTTTAGCTTTAGGAATGAATGTAAAACGCTGAGGTTAATTCTCAGGATCAAAGAGTCATTATGACAGCTAGAAATAAAAAAATGACAAAATTCACAAGTACCTGCTTTCTTGTAAAAGAGATAAACCGTAACTCCGGAAATGAGGGCAAAAAGGACAGAAAGAGCTGGACAGAGGGAAAAGAGCATCTTCCAGCAGGCAGCGCAGCCCTCCACAGTCTGGGTAATATTTGAATTACAAACAGTTTGATCTGTATTGAGAACAAACATTTTTCAAAGTATCAATTAATGTGTAATCTTTTCATTTCAGCAACATATCAGACAGTAAAATTTTTGCTTTGGGGTGGACCAGTCAGAGCAGAGACTTAAAACTTTTAGATTCAAGGCAGAAACTTGAATCTCCACAGAGTTAAATCTTTAACTCTTTAGCTAAAGATTAACGAGGCGGAAAGGTGACTTTCTTTAAAATATTCCTGAAAAAGTTAATTTCCGCATCTCAATTCCATACAAAGTGAAGCACATTATATAGACTAATTTTGCACAGACTGATGCTTTCAAGCCATTATTTCTGTTAATTCTAAAGCATTTTTTGTCATGAAAAACCGAATTTATACCACATTTATATATTTATTTATCAGCCCAATGAAAAAGACATTTGTAATTCAGAAATTTGGCCTCAATGAAATGTACATTTAATACCTGCTTAATGGTTGCTGCATTCAAAGCTTACTTTTGATCCAACAAAAAAGCCTCACCAGAACTACATAATCTAGCTAATTGAATACGACTGGATATAAAACCTGAGCTGGTATATGATTTAATAAGCATCATGTCTTTATTTGTTTTGTTTTTTTTATATAAATTTTTGAGTAATTATCTACTACTAAGAATGTAGCTGCATCCTGGAGCCATTAAATTAAAGAGGTTGCGAGTAAAGTTTAATAATTCCAAAAATTATATTTTATTTTATTGTGAACTATGAATGAAGTCACACTACTTTGGGAATATTTATCAACATAACTGTTTCCCCCAGGGTATCCATTATCTAACCATATGTAAAAATTGCAGAGTGACAATCACACAAAAAATTTCAATTTTGTTTCAGCATTTACACAATAAATAAAATGATGTTTCACATTGTTGAGGTTTTTGAAAAAAATATTAAAGCATTTTAAGGATGATTCAGCAAAATTGTTTTTCACAAACAAGATAATCACATTTTACTAAAACTTCTAAGTGTGAATCTTGTGCTGATTTTGCTATTTGTAAATTTGTTTTTCCTCCTCTACATTTGTCTCCATATTTTGTCAGGTAATTCGATTTTCATGATCACTTTTATTTACACTTTTCATGTAATTAAAAATAATTACTTACCAAGTGTAATCTTTGTGGTGATGTTGCCGTATTGGTAGATTGTCTTCTTCACCATGGTTTTATTTTCGTATAGTTCCACCTTTGACTCTTCAGTTCCACAGTAATAGAGCCCTTCATCAGCATTATTGGCTTGCACAATCAGCAGGTCATAGGAATCAAACGTAAAGTTCTTCAGAAATTTGAAATTAGGAAATTTCTTTTCAGTTTCTAAATCAGTCTTTACATTTAGAACAAGAGTTGGTGTGTCTTCATGTGAGGAATTCTTGTACCAAACTATATACACTCCAGATGACTGCTTGCAGTCACAGTAGAGAAGGATGTTTTCTCCAGGTCTGGCAGTCATCTGGACCTCTGATGTAGAAATTGAAAAGTGACTCCATAAAGTTACTCCTGGAACAGAAATACAGTAATAAAATTTTCTTCAGATAAATTCTAGCAGAACAACATTCAAATATTACGTATAAAGTAAAAATACGTGAAATACTTTCTATGTATTTCCCATACACTGCTATTCAGTCATTAATTAAAATTTAAAATTACCGAAGCAAATCACCAGAGCGACATGTAGCTGGTTCATGGTTAACGTTGACCTGGAGCTGAAGGGCAGTTTCACAGCCTTTATTTGCGGATATACTGATGATGTTGTGAAACTTTTTCCATTAAAGGAGATGTTGCTGCTGATTGGTTGATCGAATGGAACATTGTATTGTGTGGTCTGTATTTTGGTAGTGGTGTATAAAGTGAAGTGTGACTTGTTTTCAGTTTCTGCTTTGTGAAACTATCATAAAAAAGAAAAACAATCAAAACAAAGAATAGAGAGGTTTCAGTTTGGAGGTAGGTTTTAGTTGGTCTACTGAAATCCAAACATGCGTACTGTTTTACTGAATTGTACACATTATATGTTTTTGCTCGTTGTGTAGATCATCTTTCAATAATTACAGACCCTTTCCAAAAAAATGTTATGGAAAAGTAAAATTCCATTTAAAATGTTAAACTTTCGTAGATTATAGATTCAAGACCCACGGTTTAAACAATTTCAAGCATTTGTTTGTTTATTGGGCTTCCAGCAAATAAAACCCATAAAAACAGGAATTAAAAAAATTACAATACTCTGAAGAAATCAGCCTTAACTACTTCTCAGTTTTTGCAGAAAGAAATAAAAATGACAATATTTGTTTTTAAACATATTGTTTTAAAACAACATATCAGTCTTCAATACTTGGTTGGGAATCCCATTGCCTTAATGACTGCCTCAATGTAATGTGACATTAAAACAATCAGCCTGTGGCGTTACCTGGGAGTTATGGAAGCCGAGATTTCCTTGATGCTTGCTGTCAGCTCTTCGTTGTTGTTGGATCTGGTGTCCTTCGTTTTCCTCCTGAGAAAACCCCACAGATTCTCAATGGGGCTTGAGAACCCCATTGAGAATCTATGGCCAGTCAAGCACTGTGATGGTCCAGCTGGAAGATGAAATCTGCAGCTCATCACTGTAACAGTCTACCAGAATGTTTTAGAGGAATTATGAAGTCCTAACAATCTGGTTGACTGTTGCAGTGACCATGGATTTAAGAAAGCAGAGTTTACCAACACCTTCAGTGGACAATGCACCCAAATCCTGACTGATATTTCACACTCAACCTCAAGTACTTTGGGTTCAGTTCCTCACTCATCCTCTTCCAAGGTTTTGGTCCCTTGGACCTTGTTTAACAAATGAATTGTACACTTTACTTTCATTGGAAAAGAGGACCTTGGACCACTGGCCAATAGTCAAGCTTTTCTTCTCCTTGGCCCAGTTGACTCGTTCGTTTCCTATGTTGGCTCAGGTTCAGAAGTGGTTTGACCCGAGGAACCCGACAGCTGTTGCCCATTTCCTGGATGCGTCTGATGGTGGTGGTTTTTGAAGCTGTGACTCCGGCCTCATTCCACTCTTTCTGGATCTCTGCCAGGTTCTAGAATCTTCTTGGTTTGATAATCCGTTGGAGTCCACAGTCATCTCACTGGCTGATGCATCTTCTCCTGCTACATTTTGCCCTTCCACTAGACTTTCAATTGATAGGCTTGGATACAGCATTCTGTGAAGGTCACAGCCTCCTTAGCTATGACCTTTTGTAGCTTACCCAATATAAGGGTATCAAGACTTCCCCATATTGAACCAAACTGAGACAACTGAACCAAACTGAAGCAATCCAATGAGACTTGGTGGTGCTTTGAGTTTAGTAGATGACTAGTGTGTCAAACTCAATTTACAACATTCATGCCCTGTAAAATTTGGGTTGATTTCTTCAGAGTATTCTGATTTTTTTTAATTCCTGTTTTCATAGGTTTTATGAGCTGGAAGCCAAAATTATGTAACAACAAACAAATACTTGAAATCGTTTAACCTGTGGACTTTGAAAGTGTAACTTTTTGAATAGAATTTTGGGAATTAAACAACTTTTCTGTGATATTCAACTTTTTTGTAAAGGGTCTGTAATTATTTAAAGATGATCTGCACAACTAGCAAAACATATGATATGTACAATTCAGTAAAGCAGTATGCATGCTTGGACTTAATTAAACAACTTTTCCATGATATTCTAATTCTTTGGAAAGGGTCTGTACATAATAATAATATATTTTATTTGTATATTTCCTAAGCAGTCAAAGACACGCTGCAGGAGTCAAGTTAAATTACAGACAGAACACTAAGTACATCAAACACTTAAAAACATAGCACGTTAAAAAAGAAACTACAAAAAAAATAACATAAAAATTCAGGACCATAGTCATACATAAAAAAATGATGTGATATAACATTTCCCCCAAATGTTTTTCAGTTGATGTTGTCTGTGGTTGTTTTATTTTTATTTTGGACCAAATTTTGCCTCCTCATTGTTGGTAAAATAGTGGTTGAAATTGCCCATTTTTTTGTATATATACATTACTGGAGACAGGTCAGTGTCTTTTTTTCCCTTTTTCATGAGTCATTTTTTGAATGTGGACAGGTGCGCACAATCACAGATGTATTTGGGAACAGAGAAATATTCTATTAGAATTTTTCAAGATACAATTTTTTTCTTTAATAATAAAACCCAACTGTTGATTTAAATGCAAAGATGTGTTGAACCCCAAATTCCTGAGGGTGTGTGTCCTGTAACTTTTTCAACCCACCTGGATGTATGTTCAGGGTTGTTGGGATGTCCACACTCCCCAGGTCTGAAGTCTTTTTGCAACATCAAACCATCAAACTGGATCCTCTCATGAACTCTTTTGCATGTAGGCCAGTTCACGTTTGGTTACATGTGGCTGGAGGAGATTGGCTAGAGTGGCCACATGGTTTTAATATCCTTTCAACTGATTCACCCATCTAAATGTTTTGTTGGACATCCATAACAAGGAATATGAAAACAATCTTGAAATACAAAATCATAGAATAAGAAAAAAAAATCTAAATTAATTAAAAAGAAATAACTGCAAACACACAAACACTTCAACCGGTGTCTCCTCAGACTGGATGAACCAGAACTCTCTGAAAAATCTGTAAGTCCTAAACTTTCTGTTACCAGAATCATTGAGTCATTCCCTGAAAGTGAACATTAACTTCTTACATCTTTAAAAGTTATTTAGAGGTGTAAACATCACAGCGATGAACCTCTGACTGCCACTTCTCCCTCTGGGCAACCCACAAAGGACTCTTGTTGCATCATTGTTTGCAACTTGCAGCTTGTTCAGGTCACGTTGCTTGAAAGATACCCACAAGGCGGCAGCATATAACAGTGTGCAATAAGCTTTAGGTTAAGGAAATAAATATCCAAAGATTGTGATGTAGGATTTTAATTAGCAATTAGACCACGTTTGCACAAAGCTATTAATAAAGACTATGTTGAGCTGTTTTTTCCTCTTAACAATTTGTGTCTATGTTTCATAGCATGATGCAAGAGTTCAGAAGTGACTGGAGGTTTGGCTAGATTAATAAAACTAATATATAATGGTGAAATGAAGAGGGTTAGAATGCCCAATAGATTCACACCATAAAACTCGCCACTGCTATTCATATAAAGTCAAAGGACTTTTGTTTTAATCTGTATGAAAACTTGTGCAAGCCTCTGTGCATCACAATAGAGACATTTCAGCTAAAATATGTATTGTGTGGTAGAGAAATGACAATAATTAGAACCAAAATAAAGAGGGGTTCTTTTAAAATTCATGCAACCCTGATTGACTTTGCTCTTATATTCCCAAAGCCTTTTCTTTTAGAAAATATCTGCCTCTAGATATCATTTTTCTGTTTATTGATCTTATGCATTTCTTAATGTTCATAACAAACTACTACTACTACTACTTTTAAAAAGCTGCTTCTGGAACATTTTGTGTGAATCTTTCATTTGCAGAAGTTCAATCTAAAAATCAAACAAACTTCTTATTGAGTTTATTTATAGATGTGTTAACTTCGTTGTTTATGCAGATGTGTGAAATAAGACAAAATTGAAAGCAAAGTTAGCCTTCAACCACAACCTCTGCTCAGTAAAACAGGAAATCCACAATGACAAGAGTCCTCCACACTTCTGCAGAGGACAGACTGCACTTTCAGACTGCAGCAGTTTCACTGTCCAAGAGGAGAGATCAAAAACAAAGACACAAAATGCAGCAGAAATACATTAAGCGTTAAGAAAAATGAAAACAAATTTAATATTAATTTCTGTATTATCACCTTTCCAGGAAGTGTTTTTTTACTTTACATGATAAATAGATAACAATACTCCAAAACTTATTTTCTTTGTTTTCTTGCTTTATTTAATAGTTTTGTTTTGATGGTCAAACTTGCAAACATGTTTTATGTGTCCACACAAGCTGTATGTACACACTGATAAGGCATAATATTATGACCAATGTCATGTGAAGTGAATTACTCTGATGATTTCTTAGCTATGTTGACTGTTAGTCAGTGTTTTTGTGTCCTCAAAATGATAAATTAATGATTTGAGTGAGTCTGACTAAAGATAAAATGTGATGACTTGACAACTGGGTCAGCGCATCTGCAGGACTGACCCTCTGGTGGCGAGATCCAAGTCTCGGTGACATCTATTCACAGAGGCAGGGACACTGGTATACTGGCAACAGGGCCATGGGTAGGGCAAAGGTCACTGACCCTCATAGTTCAACGCAACAGGCAAGCTAATGTAGCTTAGGATATCAGCTATGAATATTAATCCATTTATTTGAACCTTTCTGAACTGGATTAGTTCTTCATATGAATGAACTGGAACAACATGCATTGATGTCAGCTTCACACATGTTGGGCTTGCCTCCAGGATATCAGCGTTTTCCACCACTGTTCTCTTACCAGGACCAGATTTTACTTGGAAACTTCAGGTTTCTGTCTTACACTGAAATTTTTAAAGAATTTCAAATACTTTTGAACTGGGGGTTAGTTCTGATACACATCACATAAAAACAGATGGGCCTGGCAGCAATTGTCATTCATTCATTCATTCATTCATTCATTCATTCATTCACTCATTCAATCAGAACCAAATTAACAAACACTGAGATCAGAACAGTTTAATCTTCAATTTTCATGTTGTATATGACATCAGTAAAGATGCAGAAGTCTGATCTGTGGATCATTCTCTTCTTTTTTTTCTGAAATGCCAGATGGACTTCCAGGGCAGCAAAGCACACGTCATCCCTCTGAAATTAAACATTTTTATTCGCAAAGTTAGCAACATTGTTAGATAATAAAATATGTGTAGAAAAAAATTGCGATCCATCACAGAAAACTCTAACTACACTTTACCAGGTCCATGAAGTATAGATGTTTGAATTATTTAAGTTATTTAATTACCTCTGTTTTTTCTGTTGGTCTCACGGAGTCACATTTCTCTTCCTTATCATGCGGTGTTTCTGCAGCAGAAATGAAAACAGGAGTGATGCGAGTTAAGTATCAAAATACTGCGATCTAAATGTAAATTTGAAAGCATACTTTTGCCAGCACCTGCTTTCCAGCGGAGAAAACCAAAAATTGAGGTCAAGAAGGTGGAAAAAATAAAAACAGCAGGACAGAGAGAGAAGAGCAGCTTCCAGCACAGACCGCAGTCCTCAAAAGACATGGTCTTATTTGAAGGAGCAACACTGGAATCTGTATCAAACAGAAAGCACCAATGAATTTAAGTTGCATTATTTGTTGGTGATCTTTAGATTAAATTTATTATTATATGTAAATATTTAAATAATCAATCAGAAAATCATGTAAAGCCAATGCTAGACATACACTAATGTAAAACATTAACAACTTCAACACTACTGATGTAACCATTTCCACAGATGGACCTAATCTTCCACATTTCTGTGTAACAGTTTTTGATAATGACATAAGATGTCTTGATTTTTATTTGTGGGCAAACGATGCAGCATAAGAGTCACAAATCCAGTCGATACTTAGACATTTTCTTTATTTTGTTTTAAGCATCACACAGTATTCTCTCACAGCATAATGAGTCATAATGATAAAATTAAACAAATATAATCAGAAACATTTTATCGAAAAAGTAAATGTGTGTTATTAATTTTAATATTAATATTATTCCGAACTATTACAACCAAATAGTGTTTTTGTCAGCCTATCCTCCCTACTGAATGTGAGTGGTACGTGATGGTGCATTATTTGCATTAGTTTGTTTTACACTTCTGCAGTTACACACTTTATAATAATTAGACTTCCATAATCAATTTTTACAGTCAGAAGTATTAGAAATAGTTACTTACCAAGTGTAATCTTTGTGGTGATGTTGCCGTATTGGTAGATTGTCTTCTTCACCATGGTTTTATTTTCGTATAGTTCCACCTTTGACTCTTCAGTTCCACAGTAATAGAGCCCTTCATCAGCATTATTGGCTTGCACAATCAGCAGGTCATAGGAATCAAACGTAAAGTTCTTCAGAAATTTGAAATTAGGAAATTTCTTTTC